AAGCTCCCTCCACAGGGTTTGGTAATGCGCAATTCCCTCCTTCCATCCCTCCAGCCCATCGGGTCTTGGGCACTTGTGCGTGTCCTGCGTGTCTCTAGGGTGACTAGGCCAGGTTTTGAATGGCGGTCACCATGTACAATCTGGATTTTCTTGAACTTTATACTGTGGAGCTGTCCCTAATTGATTATATTTTACTTGGAAAGTATAGCTCTTTTTTAATAAAAAAAAAGAATTAATTTTATTTATCATCATTATTTTAAAATTTGCTACAGGGCACACGTGCTCACCAGACAGACAGAAAGAGAGAGACAGAAGAAAAAAAGCAAGCTACCAGATCTGGGATCAAACTGTGGCTGGCCATATGGGAGTCCAGCATCCCAACCACCATACTACCTGCTGACCCCAAATATTAGTTCTTTTTAAAATTAAATATATATGTGTTAATATACATAAACACTTAGTGCCTGGAAATATTTTATACGTGCAAATTAGGTAAGAGTTGGTATGTAGTCTTGAGTTCAAAATCTGTAGGGCAGGTCAGCAGGATTTCTCAGGAAATTCAGGCAAGATTTCTGTTTTAGTCTTAAGACAGAATTCCTTGATTAGGAAATCTCAATTTTTGCTTCTAAAGTCCATCAGCTGATTGGGTCAGGTCCACCCACATTATCAAGGGCTATTTCCTTTACTTAAAGTCAACCAATTGTAGATATTAAACACATCTACAAAATACCTTTGCAGCAATAGCTAGTCTAGTGTTGGACACGACAGGCTAGCCAATATGACACAAAAAGTTTAACCATTATATTATCCATTGCTAACATCAGCACAATGAACATATTTGCCAGTCCCAACAATTTTTCTGTGCTATTTTATAATACCCATCCGCCATCCTCAATAACTTTTTAAAAAAATTTTTTTAAAGAATTATTTTATTTAACTTCATTTATCCACTTATTTATTTATTTATTTATTTGACCAGAGAGGGACAGAGTGAGAGAGAGAGAGAGGGAAGTAAGAAAGCAAGCCACCAGCTCCAGGAGTCAAACTGTGGTCGGCCATGTGGGAGCCCAGCACCTTTAACCACAATGCCACCTGCTGGCCCCTCCTCAATAATTTTTTAAGAAAATATGGGGGCCGGCAGGTGGCATGATGGTTAAGGACCCTGGACTCCCACTGTTCAAGTCCCAGACCTGGTGGCTTGCTTTCCCTCTCTCTCTCTCTCTCTCTGGTCAAAATAAAATAGATGGATGGATGGATGGATGGATGGATAAGTAGATAGATAAAGTTAGATAAAATAATTCTTTTTTTAAAAAAAAAAAAAAAAGAGTATGAAGGAGTTCTAATACCAGAATGCTTGACATGGTCATTTTATGGGTCTGAAGACATATCTGTGGCACAAAACAGGTAATATTCTATTTTTTTTTTTTTTGAGAGGTTTTTGCTATAGGGCACATGCGCTCGCCAGACAGACAGAGAGACAGAAAGC